TTTTTTTTCATATTTCTACAAAATGAATTGAATTCATGAATGTAAATGCACATGTAATTCAATTCAGTTCAATTCATTTGTTTACACTGTAAAGGGCATTTACACACATTTTATATGGAAGAGTAATGGAAATATATTGTAGTACATGTAAAATATTTAACAATTAGACCCGTGGCCCTTGAGGGCGAAGGGTCTAATTGTTTTAGTATCACCCAACTAGTCGAACAGAAAAGGCAATAATAAAGTTGGCAAATGCAAGTTGAAGAAATATTTATTTGGGAATGTAACGAAAGAAAGCATCACACTCGATTGCGCCAATTTCACTACTCGAGGACTATTAGTAATAGTCCCCTAGTAGCGTAGCCAATTAAAATGCATGATTTGCATTAGTCCACTAGTTGGGTGATACTAATAAGAAATATTAGCTGTAAAGAAATAAAATTCATATGTGGGCATTGACCAATGTAAGCAGCTGTAGTAGTGTACCATTTTGGTACAATTTTTGCTTTACTGATTTTGTATCCATATGAAGGAGTAAGGTACTAATAGAAATCCCTTATGGCTGGTGTAGTTTAGAAATGTCATGCAGAGTAATCTTGTCTGGTTTCCATTTTCATTTATTCAGATGCCTGACAATTAGCAGGACCAATACTAGTGATTATTAGAATGTGTAAGCTACAACATACCCTTTAGTTGGTTACTGGCAACTATAGCATGTTTCTTCTTTGTATCAGGATGAACAAGGTGAACTTCATCCACTGTACACAACAGAGCTGCTTCTAGAGCCTCAAGCACTGCTATTTTCCCCTGGATTAGATGACTTTCAAGATGGACTGGGAGAAGTTATCAAGAAATTTCAAGATGCTGTCCTTAGTGTACAAAACTTGGTGCCTGATACTTACTTTGACGCATTTACTCAGTAAGTTTAAATCATACCAAATCTCAGGTGCACTTAAAACTAGTGCAGGATGGCTGATTCTCTAGAAAGTTAAGTCAGAGGAGAATGCTTTGTAGTAGATGGCACTGAATATTTTCCCAGCTACCTGAATTAAAAATGACAGACTATTTTTTGGGTTTCTATCAGTGGCACATGAAGCCTTTATTTCATGCCAAAATCATCATGTCTTAAGAACGTAACTTTACTGAGTGCCATAGCTGAGAAACCCAGACCTAACCATACCCAGGTTCAACACGGTAACTCACGGCAAACACAGCCTAAGCTATCTAAAGCCTAAACCATTGGCAAAGCTGAGTGAAGACCTTAGAAAGTTAGAAACCCTTAACAAATTAAAAACACGGCCAAGAACAATGAACCTGACAGAATTAATTAGCAAAAATTGCAATAATTGTCTTTTATGTTCTAGCTAACTAAAGTCAGTCATTCATTCATTCAAGTTAATTATGAGAGTTTGGTTGCTACAAAATTATGTGCCGAGAGTAGTTCAGACTTTGGGGATTGCCTAATTGAAAGGCCGTATGCAAGAACGTCCCCTAGATTTTTCGGCCATTTTTGAAAGTGCATAAAACTAGCTGAATTTTGGCATGTGGGCTTCGTTTCACCTGAGAAACACTGCTCTGAAGTTTTTTTCGCTGGGTTGCTTTTCGTTCTCGAGAAATAACGTATGCAAAAAAGGCACACAGGTTGGAAAAACCGAGTGGTTTATTGCGTANTAAAATCTCAAGCTGAGAATTTCAAATGTGCAGTTTTTTTAGGGCTGTCACCAGTAATAAATCCTTGGAAATTCCCTTCTCTTGGTAAATGGTTGTAGATTAAAGAAAATGACCATCAACAGTAAGGAACTGATGGTGTGTTCTTACATCGTGTAGGCCATTTATCAACGGTAAAGTTGAGGAGAAAACTGCTGGTGATGGGCCAAGCTTAGCTACAATGTTTGAAGATGACAGACACCTTCAGGGAATTATACAGAGTATCAAGGTTTGTAATTTAAGCTTGCTGCGATGATTGACTCAGACAGCACATTATGAAAATATAATTTAAAATGTTTTCACAGCTGTGTGGCAAGAGTTTTTGCCCAATGTAGAAATATTTTGTAAAATATTATACTTATTCTTCAGATTTAACAATTAGGCAATGTAACAGCAGTGTAGCAGTTTGGTTAAAAAATACTCGCGTTAAACTGACTGCATTCCAGTTATTCTTCCTCTTTGTCTTTTCAGGATGCCATCTCATCAGCATTTGATTCTGCCTGGCAGTATGCCAGTACCTTTGAACCTTATCGCCAGTTTTACCAGGAGAATGAGAGTTTGGATCTGGATGCCATCAGACAGGAAGAACATGGTAATACAAACTATTATGCATGCTGTGCTGTATGTGGTGATTCATTTACTGATTGCTTAATATGGAGGAAATGAAGTTTTTTTTATGAATTGATTACCTTTTACATGCAATTAACTGCTTGCCTCTTTTTGCTAATTGTCTAAATTTAGATGTTACATTCTTCTCTGAATCATTGGACAAATACAACAGTGAGCACGAACAAGCAGTTGGCATCCTGGAGCAAAGGCCAATTGGCATGATCCTTGTTGACTGCAAGAAGCTTAAGGAAGTTCTAATTCCATCCCCCTTGAAGTGTTTGGAAGTTAGTAAATTAGCTTGTACATACATACTTACTTTATTCATCCCAAAAGGGCTTTTCAAAATAAATATGTAATGTTGCTCTCAGAATTACCTCAAGTGAGGTTGGTAACAAAAGGTGGCAAAGAGATCTTTGCACTGCCAGTTGAACCTCGATAGCAGCAAGTACAATACCTTGATTAGTTAAGAGCACAGATTTCATTTTTGATGGGTACAGGTGAATTTGTGAATTAATATATTGTTCAGAGTTCTATATTATTTTAAAAACGGTTCATTTCATTTGACAGTTATTTTAATTATTGTCATTTGACTCCTTTACATTCTTTTTATATTTTCTTGAGTCAAGGCTCAACTATGTAGTAATGTCTGAGAAAAAAAAATCAAATTGAGAGATGTCCTTCTATTTCCATTTCTGACAATTATATAAGAAATCACAATCACATACAAGGTCTGTTGTACTTTTGTGATAGGTTATAAATGACATTTTACCCAAGTTGGCCAAGAAGAGAACTGATACACTGATGGAATTCTGTCAAGATGCCCAGTTTAAACTGGAAGCCATTCCCAGCAGCACAGTAGAGTATGTTGAAAGCCTCACATTTCTTGACACCATTCAAGAGAAAGTAAGTCTCTATTTATTAAGAAGGTACAATGTAGAAGGCCTTGGAATTTTGTTTCCTTGTAGGAAAGGCCTTTCAGTTACACTTGTCACTGTATGTATAACCTCAAACTCTTTTATACCATCCCAGAATTAAGTGTAGTAGTTTTGTTTTTGGTAATTATCAATTTACTGTACTCTAAATAGGTTGATGACATTGAACGAGATGCCACTGTTGTCAAAGAGCTGTACGACTTGATTGAGACATATAAAGTCCCAACACCACCTGAAGATCTTGCTGTGTACCAGGTATTAATGTTGACTTATATTAAAGCTTATGTACTTACTGTATGACCTGTAAAATAAACTGTTTTGTGTATTCTTTCTGACTTTCCATGTGTAGACTTATGTTTATTTATGTTCCAAAAAGGTGGAAAATTGAAAGATGTTGACTGGGTTAAATTGTAATTCTCAAGTCATGCACTTCTATAAAGAGGTACTTGAGCAAATTAGTTAAACAACCTACATGCATGCATTTTATATAGACTCAGTACAGGTAAAGGCACAAGCTGACTTGATTTCATCTACTTGCAGACTCTAAGACCAACTGTCACAGCTGTCCGTAATGTCATTGACAAGTCACTGGCTGAGAGGGATGCCAATATTGACAAGATGTGCACACATATTGATAAAGATATTGTTACCCTGGGCAAAGAAGTTAAAGAAGTGAAACAAAAAGCACAGGTATACACAGCATACATGTACATAAATATAGAATATTATATTACAGCCATTTACCTTTAAATGATGCCAGTATGGTAGAATATTTTATGGTATGTTTATATAAATATTGTAAGCACTTTGTCTTTATGAATTCCTCAACAAGATGACTATAGATTACTGTATAGTTACTGTATTAATTAACAATAATTGAGCANCAAATTTTGTTTGTATTGCTTTTGGACAATACTGCAGTATTTAATAGATATGTAATTGTTGTGTTAATTACTACATTATCTCATCAACTGGTATGTTCATACTGCAGGACCCCAAGATCTTAGACTCCAGCTCCCAGTCAGATGACATTATCCAATACCTTGGAGCTCTCTTAGAGAAAATGGAAAACCTGAATAATCTGGCATTCACTTTCAAGTCATACCAAAAGAACTTTAAGGTACTGGTACTAATCCAAATCTTCTGCTGTGGACACTGTATTTAGATACTTGTATGTTAAGTAATAGCCATCATTGCCTTGTGATAATGTGACTTGGCATTAGGCTAACTCTCTGAATGTTTGAACAAGGTGTTTTCTTGCACTCAGTAACAAAAGAGAACTCTTTGTTAACTTAATTTTACAAGTTGCATGAAGTGGTTGTCTTTGTACGTTTATTTCTGTTGGAATGTTATAAGACAATNACAGCTTCAGTGATGGAAGGAAAAGTTTGAGCTTGGGGTGTGAGTTCAAGACTATTGCATTTTTCGTGTTTTACGGTACGTTCCTCAGATAATCTGGTTTAAAAAAAACCTAGGAATACTACAAATAACTATGAGAGATCTTAGACAGACTTTCACGTATGTTTATGCATGCAATAATCGTTTGAAATAATTTCGACTTCAACAAACAAGATGTCATCGCTTTTCATGTGACCATGCAAAAGAACACGCGTTCTCTTGAAGACAGCAGGCGAATAAAGAGTGACATCGATCTAAAGAAAGAGAAATTCTGCTCTTCGGAGACCATTTAAAAAGAAAAGAAAAAAGAAAACTTTTAAGCTATGTAATAGCCTCGACGATCTACCAACGCTAGTGACCTCTTGGGACTAGAATCCACGCGGAGAGACGAGAATTGCCCCAATATATAAACTGATCAGAAAAGGTAACCAGAACCAGATGTTTTCTACCGAAGTGAAAAAAGATATGGGTACACGAGATTGGCCAACCATTAAAACTTTGTTGTCACATTGTCCTAAAATTATTTTGTTAAACCTTCGTTCGTAACATTGGCGCAACGTTATTTTTTTGAAACTTATTCTGAAAACATATATCATGCATGGTCTTATTACATTGTTGAAAGGTGTTGAAAATGTTGACGCTTTGATGTAGGAAAAAAGTCACTCAGCATCTCTTTATCTATGCCAGTTCTAACGATGTTGTTGAAACCCTGGGAGCGTTTTTAACAAAAAATGTGCAAATTTTTGACCTGATGCCAAGCGGAAGGGACGTTTGGCCAAAGATGAAGCTTCTTTAAATAATATCAAAGACTAAAGGAAAGTTCTGTCAAGGATCAAGAGTACTTTCGGATGCATTGCACAGGTAAAATGTGGCATAGTAAAAAGCTGTCAAAAGCACTCAGGCAACCTTTAATATATGTCAAATTCAGTCAGCCAACCCGTTCAGAATTAAAAAAAATGGTTTTACGATTTAATGATATTTACCAAGTGAATCGGCAAAGCTGCAGACATATGTTGAATAGCAGGATCGTTGACGAGTGGCAAGCGTCCTCAGCGATATTAAAATCCTCGAGTGTTGAGGGACGAAATTAATTTTTTTTTCGTGTAACTGAAACTAAGTGAATTTTCTAAGTCGTGACATTAAATAAGCAGATCCAGGAATACATAAGCGAGACGTGCGAACTGGGAATAAGCCTCGACAAACTGAAATATAGGGTTTTAAGAAGGAACCCACCAGAAGTTTTAGTAACAAATGGACAAAAACTTTGCACCAAGATTATTTACATCGTCAGTTTCGCAAAGTTCTGTGCGACTGCTTTAAATATCTTCTCGAAAAAAATCATTTCGAACAACACCAAATGTCGAAACAAATTTTGAAGTTCATATGAAACACTTGAAAGTACTGGTGAAATGAAACTGATGATGAAATTTTAACTGTGTTTGCACCAATTCTCTGAACTTTGAAATTTATTTTCTCGAGTTCCCATTGGAAATTGTCTCCGGTATTATTTCAGTCAACTATTTATATATGATTTACTTAAATGTAAAAAGGACTGTGCAATACCTAAAATTCATGTGGTACAAGGTTTTAGTCCAATAAAAGCTGAAATTGCTCGATTTTCGGTATCAGATTTCGTCTTACGTATTTTCGCCTACGATAGTTATTAGAGAAGCCCTGGGAATTGTTTGGGGCTATAGCTGTTGCACAACTGCACGGTTATATCTGACGCTCTTGTCAGTGCTGTCAGCACGTTCATATGAGTGTACGCGTGAAAAAATTGGCCCTTATAAATGCGCACGCGTCATCAACTGTCTTAAAACATATGGATCCATAACTCTAATATAAAAATACACTGAATCACTCACCGTTTGATTCTTTATCATGTACGAAAGTGATAGCGATCAATTCTGATATTAGTTCGTTGGAAATTAAAACAGTAAGCTGTCCAAGTGCCACAAGCGATAAATTAAGCAGTGTTTGGTAAAAAATCAATTGATATTTAATATCGGTTAAACCACGTAATTTCACATAGTTGTTTAATCCTCTTTTTTGATCAGGCGTTGAAGACTTGGGCTAGATTAAATAACTTTTCATCAAAAAAGTCAAACGCAAATCTTCCAATCTCCACGCATGATGCAGAACTTTAGCTTCAATTCGTGTGGACACAGTAGAAAGCAAGATATTGACCCACATTGTAAAGTAGTAAAAGAAATATTTATCTGAAGTATAGTGGGCTTAATTTCCTTTTCAACTTAAACTGTCAGGTGCTTGCTCAATAATGCTTTGTCATTCAAATATATATATGTATTTTTTGTGTAAACAGCACCAAAGGGTTGAATAAAAACAATGCAGGTATCTGCTTGTTTCTTGTTAGAAAAGAAAATGCCGATCACCCAAAAACAAGCAGTCTATAGTGAAAGCTGTTTAGAAATAAACCGTTCAAAATATGACCACACATATATATAAAGCTACATGTAAATATATTTTTAGCGGGTTAATGCAAGCGGTTTCTGTGAACATTTTTTTTCTTTTATTAAACTTTTTTTTCTCTCACTGATGAAAAATGCCAACGTGTTCTGATGTCAACCACAAGCAATCAGTATTTCTATCTTAACCTAACACAAAACCTGTCCATCAGTTACACAATATAATAAAATATAGGGAATACATAATGATCAGTTGGCCGTCGGCCAGAAAGAGAGCTAATAGTCATAGCAGAATAGCAATTCAAATCTGATTCATTTCTCTGCAGTTCAAATTTATGATCTTTCGTATATTCACTTAAATTCAAATAAGCTGCACGTCCTTTGTTAACAAAACACACAAAAGTGTGCGTCTTTTAACATCAATAAGGTTTTATACCAGGTGTAAATAGATATTTATCAATGCCTTTGTAATTCAAATCGATTCTATCTGTTAACTAAGCGGCTGCACGAAAACTGTGAAATCGCCGACGATGCGCATATTCGCCAAGATAAATATTGCGAAATTGTGGCGTTGAGCAGGTGCCTGCCTGCCATGGTTTTAAACGCTTGAAAACCCATTTCTAAGCTACAGGAAAGTTTCAGCTCAGAATTCTTCAAAACGCATTCTACAAAATAACCCAGCAAAAAGGTAAGTGAAATAAGTCTATTTACACTTTACCTAAATCAAGCTATTTGCAGATTTAGTAAATTGGTCCGAGATATAACCACTTGCAATATACCAACATTAATTCATAATATCTAAATTCGTCCACGAACTGCGCCAGAACAAAGAACGCATATCGCGAATTTTATCTAGGACAGAGCAATGAGACTTTACCTGAGGTAGTTTCCGTCAGATCGTGCAACTGATTTTTGGGTCGACAACTCTCATTTTAGCAAACAAAAAAGTACATGTGCAGGATTTCCTACAAAATTTATTTCGTGAAAGCAGAATTTCAGTCGCGGCATACTATAGATGGAAATGTTAACAAACCTCAACTCAAAGACGAGATTAAATAGTCGGGGTCTTACAAGCGCACAAGAATTAGAAAGGATAAAAAATAATACCACTTCAAGGTGTCAATGCCTTTTTTTTTTTTTCTACATCCAATGATACACAGGTCAAGTTTTTTAGTTTGTTTAACGCTCGCAAAGCAGTAGAGCCAGTAATGTTTTAATTCGACTGAAATCGAAGAACACTTTGCGTACATAAAAAGAGATTTAATGCAGTCCGTTATCATTTCTTAAGGCATTTTCCAAGTAAGCAGCCAGTAAAGCCCGCAACTGCAACCAGCACGTTGATGACTGATCTAAAACTCGATTCTGAGTCCTTTTTTTTCTGCTTCACCTCCAAACAATATTCATTTTTGCAGCCAAATCGAACACCCTCTGTATCAACTTCAAGGCCTAAGGCTCTGTATCAACTGCAGTGGTAAGATGTGGCATATTTCTTTTTTTTTTTTTAACTGAGCTAAAAGGTTTTTCCTTTTGAAGAAAACAGCGCCACCTAGCAGAAGAGTTATGACTAGGCCGGGTTCCTTTGCAGCAAGTCTTGAAGAGCAGTAAAGAGCTTTCAGAATCATCCAAAGACTTTCAACCGAAACACGACCAAACACAAACTGCTTGAACAAAAGTGCAAATGGTAGCTTAATTGATCTTTGCAACGCTTAACTTGTCAAACAGCTTAATATTGTTTCGTTTCGTTCCCTTGATTTGTATCAACTATTTTTATTCAGGTAAAACTAATCTTCAAAGCAATGTGAGGAAGGAATCAAATTGTTATAAAGCTCAATAATTTGTATAGAATTTTTCGAATTTAGAAAATTTTGGTTCGTGATCACCAATTGTTTATCATTTTGTAGTTACCGAGTTAGTCTTGTGATTCTAGTGCCCGACTGCCCCCACAGAGAGTCTTATGACTTCAAGTTCTTTATCTTAGTTTATCGAGAATACGTTATAAGCTCCGAACAATACCCCATCGATTCGATGGTCATGTTTGGGCCAGCACTTGGTTCTGAATCTTCCACAAAGATCCAGGTTAGGTTTCTTGTTCTCTAAACTGTAGATTCTATTGGTTGTTTCAAGAACTTTGTGGTTCGCTTTTGAAAGTCGCGTGCAAGTGTTTGGGTTAGCATTCTAAAAACGATGTTTAGTCCTACAAGGTCAGTTCATCTCGTGTGGCGGCCGGCTATTTAAGTGCGTGTGCTTTTGTTGATCAAGCTCTTTTGTAGGAGAAGCGGAAGTAGTAGTCCAAGAAATAAAAGACCCAGGGACCGGAGTCTCGCGGTACTTCCTCGTTTGGACGACTGAGGGACTTCCAATAAAATGACTAAAACATTTATAAGCCCGAAGATGCAGTTGTTCCTGACCAAGCTGGATTTCCACAATACACTGAAAATAACCCAAAATACGTCGAACGGAATACGGTTCACATCGACATATTTTACATCAAGCTAATTTTTTGATACATAATTGAAAAGGAAACGCAGCTGATTTTAGAAAAAAGCTGAACGTTTGATATCGAATAACGTGATTGCGGTACACATTCGTCTTTATCGAAAGAATTCACTGCTCAATTGGGGTTTACTTTCCTCTGGAGATAGCGAAGTGTTGAATGAACGTCGATTGCGAAAAAGTTCATGCGATCTCAGGGGCGTAGCCAGGATTTTTCAAAGGGGGGGGGGCACCCTGCGTCAAAGTGAGGGTACCCACCAGATTGTTTTGTCGTTTTCGCCACCTGTTGTAGGTTGTTTTCTTTAAAAAAAAAAAGGCTTACAAAAGAGGGGGTCACAGGCACCCCAGGGATCTCCCTAGCTACGCCCCTGGATCTAAAATGTCAAGCATCAGTCATTCCCCAATTGAATGCTGTCAAGAATCTGAAAACACTTAAAGCGACAACCAGCAAATCCACTGGACCAATTGGTGCTGAAGTTCACTTCAAAAATTGGGAATATTTTGATTGCAGACAGAATTTTTAAAACTATTAAACTTCGGGATGTAATTTCGAAGTTCGAAGCCTTATTTGGGAGACTTCCACATCATAGTCTAGTTAATGTCCGCAAAAAAATATCACCGAACTCGGTAAAGTTATTTTATTTGTACTTTGTCACGATTCTTTTTGCGAAGAGGTTCATCAAATAAACAAAAACTTTAAATAAAATAAACAACTTTTTTAAGGTGTAAATTGTATTTAGCACTGCTAAAAAAATATTGCAAACAGAACATAAACTATTAAGAATACCAACTGAAGGGGGCTGAACAGTTGGCTGTTTACACAATGCGATGGAGGAGGTGAACTCGGGGCCACCGAGAACAAATCCAGATAGCGGCAGGTTGGAGGATTTGAACCAAGGACCTCCGAATTTCTAATGCAGCGCCCTAAACGATTTGGCCGCGCCGCCTCCACATAGATTGAATCAATTTGAATCAAATTGTAAACTCTGGCTCAGAACGTATCTGGCAGGACTAATGTCAGTCATTTTATTCTAGGACTGAAGGCATTAACAGCGAGATTTATGCCATGGGTTCTAAAGTGCAGCTGTTGAAGGATGCAATCGACGTTCATTCAACACTTCGCTATCTCCAGAGGAAACTCAACCTCGAGGGCTTTCGTTACAGACGAATGTGTACTGAGGGCGACGATTCCAACCCTCTATTGGAAGCAAAAACAGCGGGAAAGGAGAGGTTGGAAGTAAACAATGAAATCTTCCATTTAAGCAAAATGGATCCCCTTTTGAAAGACGAAATACCACAACAAGAAAATGCAATTCAAAAAAACAATTCGGAATTCAAAGTTAAAGGATTCCGCCACGATGAACCACAGGATCAGGCTTCTGGAGGAGAACCAACCCAAACAAAAACTGTTCAGATGTTGCAATTGGAATCCAAACCTAGAGATTTCTTGGACAGCAAAAGTTATTGCCATGAAATTTTCAATTCTTCTTTGGAAATCAGGGAACTTGCCACCAGAGGAACAGTTCGCAAGGGACCATTGGAATCTAAGCCCAGGGGTTTACTAGACAGCAACCTCTCTTGCCACGAATACTCAAATTCTGTTTCGGAACTTGAAATTCCAGGAACATCAATAACAGCTCAGCAGAGAGTCTCGAAATTAAAGAATGAAGGTTTCTTTGAAATCAAACTTTCTCGCACTGAAAACCTGGAGCTCTCTCCGGAATTCAGAAAATCAATATCAGGGGCCCAACTTGAGAGCAACAAGTCTTGTGAGGACCGCGATCCTCTTTCGCAATTCAGAACTGAACCAGGTGATACAAAAACACTTCGGAAGGAACGATTGGAAACCAAGGTTGCAGGTTTCCTGGACAGAAAAAGTTCTTGTGACGAAAATTCGGTGTTCACCTCTGAAGTCAGAACACCACAACTGACAAAAACAAAACCAGTTCAGCCAAAAGACTTTCAACTTAAGCCTGAAAGCATCCATTGCATCAAAGATCCTTCCAACATACAAAAAGACTCTTTCTCAGATGTCCCAAAACTACAACACCTTAAAACCATTCGATCAAAAGACTTGGAGTTCAAGCCTAAAAGCTTCCAAGACAGCAAAAAATCTTGCCATGAAAGCCAGGATCCTTTTATGCCACTGGGTAAATCACCACTTGCCGAAACAGTTCAACCAAACATTTTGGAATTCAAGGCTGATGGTGTCCATTGCAGTAATAGTTCTAGCCATGAAGACTCCAAATATTCCTCTGGAAGAAAAGTGTCACGAAACTTGAGAAAAGCTCGTAAGAAGAAAAAAATGGACTTCAAATCTCAAGGTTTTCATTACAGCGAGCTTCCCTGTAACGAAGCAATGGAGGTGAAAAAGAAGCCGGAAATGAAGAAACCAGTGCAAACGAAAAAATCGACTCCAGTTCATGCCCCGGTTTGCAAAGTCCCGAGCTGGCAGGACGATGAAATAGTGAGAGCAAAGCTTGCTCAACGTCGCTCTGCCGTATGCGATAAGATTGAAAAAGAATTACTGAACCAATATGGAATCAGCTTGCGAAATTTGAGGAAATATATGGTTATTGACGACATACTGAAGGAGGTGAACTTGCTGTAACACGAAATCAAACATGTTCAACTGAAGCGACTGATGCCATTACAGATCTGTTGCTTAAAAAAGAAAACAGAAACAAACGTTTTTTTTTTTTTGCCGTGTACGAAGAATCTAGAGAACGACTTCAAGTAAGACAAGTCAGGTATTGACATCTGAAAGCGTGAAAGTTTTCTTCACTAACTTATAACTTTTTTTTGTCAAAAACAGGTAAAAAAGAATTATCAGCACTGCTAAAGCGTGTGATGCCCAACAGTTATATGTTGCAATATTGGGAAGAACTATTCAAACATATTTATTCAAATCCGTAGACAAAAAAACACACACACACACACACACACAAAATGGAAAAAGGAGTTTCGAAGTTTTCTCTGTGTAAAACAAAATCCTGATTTGTTTGAAAGACAAATTAAGTAACTGAATCGGCAACTTTTACAAATGTATGCAGGTATACTTTAATTCCTAAGGGTAACGAATATATTTATGTGTTCAGAAATTCTCCTTACAGTGAAACTACATTAACTCTCAAGCATACAGGTAATAAGAATAACGAAAAATATTAACAATTGTCTTATGCAGTCATACATTCAATTTCTAAGAGTAGCGAATACATAAACTCTCCTTACAGTAAAACAACGCTGTCAAAGATACAGCTAGTAATGAGAATAACCAAAATTATCAACTATAGCCCTAAAGCACTAAGCAAACAGATTGGAGAATTGAGCTTAACCTCGACATAAGTCATTGCCAAAATTTAGTTTGTTAAACCTGTTGTTTGTTAATTAAACTGTTTCTGTGAAAAGGTCTCTTGAATATCTTTAGTGAAGATAACAGATCTGTAACCAGACTGCGAGCAATCTCTCTTTTGCTCGAAAATCCGAGGGGAAGACCGCAGAGAACCGGGAGAGAAGAACGCAACACAATTGAGCGGTCGTGAGCGAGCGAGCTCACTTGTTTTACGTCTTTCCACACGGATTTTCGAGCAGAAGAAAGACTGCTCGCAGTCTAAACTGCCACGGCCGCTTTTTACAACACTTATTTGTCTTAAAGACGAATCTTTATATTGCTGATGGCGTTCACATTTTGCCTCATTAAGCAGCGGTGGGAAATGGTCCTTCAAAAAACACGGGTCTCGCAAACTTTTCGTCGAATTTCACCGGGCTCGCAGTCTCGTTTTTTCAGCGGTTATGTGCGTCTTGCTGTTTCAATTTTTCACAAAGCTTTCTGGGAGTCTCGATGTTTTGCAAGGCTAAGAAAGTCTCGAATGGCCAATTTGTTTGTTTGTTTTCATTAATGATGGCCGAGTGTCTTAGTGTCTGAACATCTTGCGCTCGCGTTTAAAACACTTTAAAGTCTCGGTCTCGCAATTAAAAAACAACTCAAACTGAATGCCTCGGACTCACAAAGAGTAACAGTTGTCTCACCGTCTCGCATAGTCTCGCATTTATCATTCACCTTCCCTTCATTACCATACGACTTCGCGCAGAGAAGGCATCGTGCTACATGCGAATTGACTCCAAACATCAAAGCAAGAACATGCTGAATTCCCCTACCAAAGAAGTGCTCTAGGGCACACTCCCTATATAAATTCGCCCCCTTTTCAAGGCCAAAACTGACACAGCTAGATGACTGCCGCATTTCCTGCCCCTTCCACCTCACTTCCTTCAAAACCATAGCCTCCGAGAAATTTTGCATTTTCGGGTCAGTATTGCCTCTCAAACGTGTGGTTGTAAAAGACTTTTGACTAGTCACAAATGCGCGGTCGTTTGAAGGACAACAACATAATCAGTGATATGACTATATAAATTCGGCGTATTTTGAAAATCTTAAACCACGAAACCTGACTTTTCGCGTTTCTATTTGTAGTTGAAGTCTGTCCCTAACGCTCGAGCTATTTCTGAAGCCAACAGATCAATAGAATAGCCACGATAAGATATTTGTGAAATTCTTAAGCAAAATCCAAATTCAATTTTTGAACTTAGCGCTGTCCCCCCGAGTCTCCGTTTTGAAATCTGTGTCCCACTGGAAGGTAATTAATTTGGTAAATTTGGGGCGACAAGATCCATCTTCACATGCAAATTTTACTAGCAAAGTTAAAACAATCAATTTGCAATGGTGTATTCAGCCGTAGACCACTTGTCTATGGAAATATCAACATTAATACTAAGTGGTCTGAGTAAAATTCTGCTTCGTTTGAAAGTTATACTGGTAAGATAAGACAGATTGGAATGGACGTCCGGATCGGACACGCCAGTCTTACAAAAGTTTTCCCAGTCTCCACAAATCCAAACATATCTATTCTGAGGCAAAAGAAACACGACTTCATGAAAGCTTATTACGTAACGCATCAGTGAAAATGGTTTCTCGTTTTGAAATTGTCTGCAGAACGGAAGAAAACCAGAATGAAAAAACAACATTTTCAGCGTCGTTTCCGAAAGCGAGGTGGTAACTATGGAAACTGTCAGAGCCAGACTTTCGTCTCCCTAATTGTAGTAATTCGCTGGGTAACTTTGAAGACATTGCGTAATATTTGCATTTGTATGATGCTGATATTGCTTTTTAGGAGTAATAAAATCTGTAAATTTTCGCCATAGAGTTCCAAACCGTGCCTTACATTTTCGAATTGGCAAGGGCATTGAGCTTCTTGGAACTGCATGATTTAGTTGGCAAGGCTTAATAACTAAGTCAGGGTACACACAAGGAAAAAATTGAACTGAGTTTCACAGCGGAAACTACTAAGTTTCTAAGAAAAAAAAATTGAACCATGCTAGCTGAACCTGAGAAAACTGAAACCGCCCCTTGTGTACATTTTAGTTTTTTGAGAACCTGTCAAGTTGTAATAGGGGTCTTGCCATTTGATACCTCAAAGGCGTTAATGTGAAATGTTTTAAATTCTAAAATGTGTTCATCAGGCCAAAAATGTAAACAATATTTAAAACAGTTTGTTCTTACATGCAGCGTCAAGATAATAATGTTTTGCATTGGCAAAAGATATCAAATGCGTCTGAGTGTTTTTACATTCTTAAGGAAACGCGAATTTATCTCAACAGCAAATTTAGACTGGCGGATTAAAGTTTTGACGGTTGTTTGTGCAAAGTAGGAGAAAACCCTTTTTATTTAAAAGATATTCATTTGTAGGAGCAGGTGTGTCCATTGTTGTTCGTCCTTTGTTTGATTGCTATGCAAACCTGTCAAATTTAATCGCGTTTCTAGACGTCAAGAAAAAGGACACGGAGATCCTCACAATTCAGTCGTTCTCCTGTGTTAGTAGCCAAAGCGCTTCGACTTCCTGATTCCGAAGGAAATAAAAGAGTTGCAAGAGGGCTATCGCTTGGCTTTTTTGCGCAGAGAGACACGATGAGAACCAGAGAAGAGCAGAATCGAAAATTACACGGCTGCGTGTCGCGTCGGTTCAGTATGCGCTCGCGAAGGTACAAAAAACTCGCTGCGCAAGAGGAACTCGACGAGTCGCGCGCCGCGTCGGCGAAAACTCGCGAAGAGAATTCGCGAGCGACGACGGAAGAGTTCGACGAATTCGCCATGAATCGCTTCAAAGGCTCGCGAAAGGCCGCAAAGTTTAACGCAGCTGCAGCTATTGAGGAAGATGATGGACTTGACATGGAAAAGGAAGCATTGCCTGCACGCTGTAGGAGACACGCTATTTGCGAAGAGATGGAAAGGTACATTTTGAACGACGCTGGCGTCAGTTTACGGGGCTATCGTGAGTTGCTCGTAACACGGCGTCTTCTCTTCGAGATGCACCTGCTGTAAAGAGGAAGTCAAGCAGAAAACACTTGCAAGTCAGGCCTACGGCAACTTGTAAACATCTCTTTAGTTAGGACGCTTTAGAACAAAGTAAAACCCAGACTTACAGCAACAGAAAAAGCGTCGAGAGACATCATGCGTAACTTTGACTTTATTATGGAGTCATATGCAAGACGGCAAGTCGAAGAACTTACGCGTAACACGGTGTAGTAGTGTTATTTGTGATATTGATTAAGCTGGTAAAGTTCGAATTGAATTAAAGTCGAAAGAGTCGTTGAATATATTAGCAAAAAGAAGGGAAATAAGGACGTTAAAAAATATTTTAGCCATTACATTTTTGGTAAAATTAATTACAGAAGTCAACAAACAAAATACTCATAAATTCATCGCGTATGGACACAGCAAAAATTGCGTTTAATTTATTCTTAAATTCAGCCTAAATATATCAATTGTAGGCAAATTGTAATTATTGTAAGAAGACCTTTTCGAGGTCGATGTATGAAGGAAACTTGTTCATGCTTGAAATTATTCTTGTAAAAATGTATTATAGTTTTTCGGCTTTGAGTCCGATTATACTGTAAAATTAATGATAAAACGCAGGCGGGGAGTCTGCGTAAAATAATAAAAATACAAGGAACCCGTAGCTGCATGGTGATTTACGGTAATTTGCGAAAAAAACATGGCAGCGATAACGCGTGCGAGGTTTCTGGTATCGAAAATGCGTGCGATATTTTTCAGTAGAGAGGTCGAAGAAAATTATTTTCAGAAAGTGATTATAGAAGCTTTTAGAAAAGTATTTTATATTTTACACGCTGTCGGAGTGTGAAGATAAAGCATGAAAAACATAGACGTCTCGGCTGCTTTTTTGCGGTTGTGTTTGAAGGTCCTCAGTGCACGGAATAGATACAATCTTAACTGACTATACTGACGAAAACGGAACGTCAAACACAGTTCGAAAGGGTATTTCTCCCACCTCATTTCAATGGATTTTCTATTTACGCTAAAGAACCGGAATTTTGGTGACAAAACTAGACATCATCGTTTAGAAAGTTGAAAGTTTTCCGTTCCTCGTTGTCAGGCTCTCTGTCTATGTGCGTAAGTGCCCATAAATCAAAAGAGTTCGACACAGCGCTTGAGAACTGAAATCGTAATTTGCTGGCCTATAAGTCTCATCATATTACCGGATGCATTTTTGTTGTACAAAATACTACTTAAGCCCGTAAATTAAGAGATTTGTTTTGAAAGTTGAAAGTACAAACAAGTTCAGGCCACGTTAGTCGCAAGGCCAAACTAAGCACTTATCTCAACCCCTCCCCAGCTAAGCAGACGAGAAAGAAGCATGAAATTGAAAATTTCATCCAGAGTTGATCAGCTGTTTACACCAGCTTCACTTTAAGACAAAATCATTTCAGTAGTGAATCCTGAGCGAGCTGTCGGTCCTCGATCGAGTTAGCTTATGTTATATATGATCTCCATTTGCAGAGCAAATGGGACCATTGAAATCAATAATTATAAGCTGGAGAGATTACGGGAATCAAATAGTCAGAGCCACGCGGAACGGACAACGATTAGTAACAAAAATGAATGACGTATATTCTGGTATATATACAAAAATGTATATATAAATAAAATCTCGCGATATTTAGATCTATCTAATTTATCTATAGCAGAGGAGAGAGGAGAACTGTAGAAGGAGAGAGGCAGAAGATGGGTTTTGCCACTTGGAATGAAGATGTCACTGCTGCGAGAGACAGAGCATATTGGAGGAGACAAGTCAATGGCCCTATTCTCCCGGAGGAGAGCTAGGACTATAATGATGATGACTTTATGTATAGCTGTCGCTAATTATTACAAAGTGACAGTTAGAAATGTTCAAAGGTGTATAATGCAAGTGAGAAGCCATTGTAATGATCATAAAGAATTTTTTTAACAACACTTTAATCACCATCGAAATCGTGGTTAGCTTATAGAGCGTATTCACTCACGTGTCCAGCAGCCATACAAATTTATTGGAACAAAAGAAAGTGTTTACATAAGAAAAGAGTTAAACTCCCACAGGATTGGTTTTCTACACCAACATGGCCGCCGTTTCATTGTTTTGGAACACTAATATGGCTGCCATGACGTCATGTGCATATGCTCTATTAGGTTCGATTAATTTAACAGCAGCTTTACGTAAGTTTCCCTTATACGAGTATGGCACGCTCTGATGTCAAATGATATCTATTAAATTACCATTGAGTTAAGTGCACATATTTTTGTATCCACTGAACTACTTTATTTGACACCGTGTTCCTGTGACTCTCCGGGCGTTAAACTGTTTCCACACGTAGCACCGGCAATGCAACATACAAGAGATGTATTAAAAATGGCTGTATGGCGGAAATAATTCTCGTGTTTTGATTGGCTGGCGAGGCGAAGTATTTAGCATGTACACACGTGCGGCATGCTGTCTCACAAGGAAAGTAAAAACAATTAGGTTCTTTCCTCTTTGATGAACGCAATGAGATTCACGGAAAACTTATGAATTAATTTTGCAACGCAATAAACTATTAAAAACGATGGTTGTCACACTGACAACCATGCTGGAATGTATATGACAATAATAATAATAATTCTGCATTTATTTAGCGCTACTACTATGAAATATTCAAAAGCGCTTTACATAAAAAGAAGCTAACAAAGATCTATAAAAAGCATGACCTGTGATGTTCACAGTGATTTTTTAAATGAACCTTTGACTAGTCTGTTGTTCAAGATAACAAAACATTTTTTTGACGCGCATTTCAATAAAATGTCAGAATACAGCAATTAAACTGAAGAGTTTGCGATTCGTGACTAGATGGCGGCCAATTTGACTAATAGAATTGGCGCTTCGGGGCATTTTCTACTGATCCAATGAAAGGCCAGGAGATGGAATTAGGACTAATTAAAAGGAAAATTACCCTTAAGTTATGAAAAATTGATGCTCTCAGTGAATTGTTTAACACGTAAAGAAGACGACCATTTTAGTAATGAAAGCCTTTGTTTTTGTGAATTCCTTTCCTATAAAAGTAGAAGTTGTGGATTTTAATTTCAAGAAAAACCGTAAAAGATATTCTTAGTTGCCGATTTAGTTGAAAGGCTTTTGGTAATACAATACAGCTAAGTTATTATAGTTAAAAAAAGGTGTTAAATGACGTTAAGGAAAAACATTTATCTACAGTGAAAGGATATAAAATCAGTAATGAACCAACATGTTTTTGTTCTAAAAATGATGACTTAAAATTATGTCACAATTAGATATGCAAAGCGGAGAAATAAACAGGAATTCCATTGTGATTTAAGGAAGTTGCTGGTATCATGAAAGAGGAAAACACTTGACAAGCACATTAAAGGTTGAAGAGGGAAAAAGAAGTCATAAAATAATACAAATAAAAGGAAGCTATAGTAAGAGACCAAACTCTGGCACAAGGAAGTTGATATGGAGAGATCGGTGATGACGTCATTGTCTACATTTTCTTCATTAGCATACGACTTTGAGCTGAGAAAGCATCATGCCAGATGGAATTGACTTTACACATTTAAAAGCGCTAATGAGCTCATACATTCTTGTACAAGTTCGAGTTTTTAAACCCGCGTCGTACAAAAGTATTCAGTACATCAGGCTCAATTCCCAGGCACAGTATTGAAAAGCTATTTAATTTCTGTAGCTTGATTAGAAACTGAATTGCTTATGCTAATGAGGCAAATATTGTAAACAAAGATTCCCAAAAACCATTAAAGGAAACACGAATCCTAAACTGGGGAAGTTCCAGATATCATTTGATGGTATTTTTCGTGGTTTCGGGTGAAAAATGCCACATGCTACATGCTAGTACACTAGCTGGTACACTAGTACGGCAATTTGATTAACATTGACCTTTACAGGAGAACTTAACAAAAGCTGTCTTTTCAATTTTAAAAAGTAACTTACGTTATCATCCCCCATGTTTTGATTATTAAAACTATGACGTCATCTCTAACGCGCGGAACCCACACTGAAGAATGGAACATGAAACTTCAAAGTAATTTTGCGTTTTCGAAAGGCCAACCCAGTTTTGCCTCTAACCATTAGGCCACTGTGCCTTTCCAGAAAAAATAAATAAAGTTCTTGTAATAGTACTGAGTGGAGTCCAGTTCGGTCTATAATAAACTCAACAAAATCGGACGACCGCAATATGGAAGACTGTTTCGCTTAATTATTAATAACGTGGGTGACAAATTACTCCGTAATTGTGGCGCTCGCTAAATTTCAGCCTTAATGTATATTTCAGATGTGAAATTACAAAATTGCCATGAAAACGTTTGGCGCTAAATTTCTTGTCATATTTCTTATTTAACTGGTCACCATTTCATGCGTTTTTAACTTTTCAAAAATCTCTAAGCTTAAAACAACAAGCTGTTTGTCTTCTTATAAAAGATGTAAAAATTATTGCCTTTGATCAGTTTTTGTAGGAGTTATCTTTTTTCCAGTAAGCCCTGGCATTCCCCAACAGGTGGCAGATTTAATCAGCCGTTGTCAGGTTACAATACAGTTCTAAGGTACAAAAATACCACTTTCATAATCTTGGTCTTTAAGCTTTCTAAAAATGTATACTTAATCATGGTCTGGAATTAAATTTTAGCCATGAAAAAAAGTTTGAAAAAATGCTGTGTTTATAAGTCCCGCCTTAATCGCAGATTCCACTTTATTTTTCTTTAAGAGGGCATGGTAACGAATCTGCAATATCCGGTAACGAGCGCGCGATGTACGTGTGGAAAAGGTCAACAACTACAAGCGTGAGAGAGAAGAAAAAAATAAATAAGCTATTTTCCAGTTTAGGGTCAGTCCGTTTCGGGAAAAACTCTGACCTCGGACTCTAAAATGCTGCCTGAGACCGAATAACTGATATGTATTGATATTTGTTAAGTTTTTTTCCCTATTTTTTTGATATCTCATGAATGCGACGCTAATCAATCACAGGCCTGTCATTTTTCTATTGAACTTGAAAGAGGTCTGGTAACGAGATGGCTTGATTTAGAGAGCAAATTAGCCACTGATTTATTTTTTAATATTATGATGCGGAGAAGCTAAAAAATACCGTGATCAAAGAAAGCCAAAGAGAGATGGTTTTATTGAGTTTAGAAAGGACTTAAAAAGTGACAGGAGGCTAGTCAGAAAATAGTGAGTAAAGGTTATGTTTTTATTTTTTTAAAAAACAGAGTAAGAGGATGTCTTCTGACAGGATAAAATTTATTCTTAAAATTTCTTTTATTTTTTTTTAATTTTACTGAGAGCTCGTGCTTTTTATTATAAATACAAGCAAAATTGTTATTTGTAGTCTAGACAAAGCCGTCAAGAGCCAAAGAATCTAGAATAGTCTAGTTTTTACAGCTACTGAAAAACGCCCACGAATCCGGCAGACATTATCGGCTAGCCATGCGACAAGAAGATAGTACAAGATATGTCATATCTTTTTTTCCTAACTCTAATCTATCTTTTGTGACGTATGGCGAGTGAAAAACGTGTCAGTTTGCGTGGAGATATCTTTAAAACTGACAGAAACCATGCAAAATAACAAAAACAAAAAGGTGGAAAAAGAGTAGTTACGCCGATGTTCTATTACAGAGTAGGTTTTACGA